ACTCTTTCAACGCCCGGGTGTTTTTGAGTTTCTTTTTATTTTTATATGTACCAATCTTTTACATTTTTTTATGTGTGTTGTACAGTGTGGGTTGGGTGTTTAGGCCCACCCATACAAACCTATATGTATCTTTATCTTTAATATATCAGCCTTTTTTAAAAAAAAATAAAAATAAATAAATAAATATATATATATCCATAATGATTCATTTCTTGGGAAAATATTTCCAAAAGTTTACCTCATATGAAAATACTTACTTTTGGCTATGAAATACATATTTAAGTCAACCATAATTATTATTGATTTAAAAAGAGTTGAACAAGCATCGAATAAGTTTGAACTCGATGTGAATGATATTCTAGAAAAAATTGAAACATATTTGAAGTTTGCTCGAATCTTATTTGAATTCTCATTCAAAGATTCAAGAAAGATTAGAGAAGACTCTTCCAAGGTTTGAATAAGGTCAAACAAGATTCATATAAGATTCAAATAGATCGGACTCTAATATTATTCATTTATTACCATATAATACATTAAAATGATAAACATTATATTATTACTAACCATTGAATGAAACTGCTTCAAGAATTATATTTGACAATTAATTACAATATCTTTATAATAGCAACAAGGGTAATGTAAAATTTTTTACGAAGGTGTCAAGCACTTGATCTATAAGTAACTCAGTTACAACTTCTAAATTCTCGTGGCTACATCTATGTTGGACTGCATAAGACTTCTTTATTAAATGCATTCTAATTTTCTTTGGACGATTACTCTTAGGTTTCACTAATGAAAGTAACTTGACAACTCCTTTTATTTCATCTAGAACCTCCAAAGTTTTTTTTTTCTTTTGATATATAATTTTAAAATATAAATCTAATCGTGTTTTCTTTGTATAAAACTTTGAGCATAAGCTGTCATAAATGGCACCCCAATACCGAATTGCAACTACCGTATATTGGCACGGAAACTCCTAAGTATCAAAGACTTTAGATGTGTATGTCCTCTCTATATGCAGGATTAATGTGATCTTCAGAGGAATTTTTTTTTTGGTACCATTTGTCATTTGAACTATTTTTTGGTGAACCAGCTTGCATTTCTTCTTTCTATTCTTTTCCATACAATATGAGAATATCAATTCTTGAATTATCTATAAAAATATTTTGTTAATATAGAGTTTCACTGTCTTCAAACATGAATTGAACCATATTCAAACATAACGTCAATGATCGAAACTTGATTAAACATTTTCTATCTATTGTTGAATTATGTTTGAAGACATGATTGTAGGATTATTTAGATCATTTAATAAAAAAAATTAGAGCAAACTATGTTCTTACCATGTTTGAATTGTGATTGACTAATATTTGAATATGGTTCGAGTATTGATTGAATAACATAGTCTTTGATACTCTCAAATCATGTTTAATCATGGCTTAAACAAGATATAAATATAGTTTCCGAACATGTTTTGACAAGTATCAAAACATACCCTCTGTTACTTGTCTAGATTAGTGTTAGATCTTCCTCAAAATGACATCTTTGATACACGATGAAAACATTAAAGAAATAGTATCAATATATGCTTACGCTGTTGATGAATGAAGAAATATCCACTTTAACTAGCATTGTCCTCATTAAGTGAAAAAACTCAGATGAATGTATGATGAAAGTAACAATAGAGACGGTAAAAATGGAAATTGTGAGATGTTGTGATATAAGTATTTTTGGAGGTATTTTGATTCAAAATAAACTTTAGGCATACGTCTTCCAAAAATGAATTAAAGGGTTTGATTTGAGAATTATGGGGCATATAAAGTCAAATTTGCTTATATATATATA